ATTTGATAAAGTGCTTGCCAAACAAGCATGAGGATCTGAGTTTGGCTCCCAGTATCCATGCCAAGTCTGGCATGGTGGCTCACTGATAATCCCAGACCTGGGGAAGTAGAAACTGAATGTGGACCCTTCAGGCTCATGGGACAGCCAGTCTAGCCAAAGAGTTCAGTGAGAGATCTTGTGTCAAAAAATAAAGTGGATGGTGACCAAGGAGGACACTTGACATTGACCTCTCTTCTACACACACACATGCACACACATACATACACAGAGAAAGAGCGAGTTTTTAAAGTTAACATGATATTTATATCATAAAGGCCTATTTATGATGTATTATGGAATTTTCCCAGAGAAACCCAGAATGGGGACTCATAATCTAAGAAATGATTTACATTTCAACAATGCGCTTGACTACTTATGCTAAATAAGGTTCAGATACCAAATGAGTAAGGAAACAATTAGACTTACACAGTGTTGGATTTTGGAACCACAGATAATATAATATACTCTGATGTGAGAGTAGAGAGTGTATTATACTTAATGCTCATAACTGGGTACTTGGCATACACAAAACATTATTTAGAGTGTGCAGGTAACAATAGGTTTACAATTATTTATTAGAGAATCATGACTTATGTATAAACACACAACTCAGTATTCCATGAAAATACTAAGTATTTGGGTGTTTCTCAATGACTTTGCATTTGACAGTGTAAGAGATGCTTCCATACATACACACATATGCTTCCATTTTCCCATCACCTAGAGGCACCTTTTTGTCTTCTGCAAGTGACTTCAAATCCACATTCATTTATACATACTTCCTAAAGTTTTTAAGAGTTGGAATGGAAAATGTGTGAAATATATGACTTTAGTTTTATACTCAGTTATCAAAATAGACTATTTTCTATAATGCTATCTTCCTATTTTTGAGTATATGCAGCTAAGTGGGAGATAAAATAGACTAATGATCTTATCTAATATATATACTATTCAAAGAAAACAATGAAAAGACTATGAGAAAACTAAGCCTGACTCTGAATTAAGGCATGGTAACCCTACAGGTACATGTCACAAAGCCTAGAGTTAGCTTTGGCAGAATAAAGCACCATTGGAATCAAACTCACTAGACATATAATGAAACAATAATGCAGGATTCCATGTTCATTAAACTAATGCATTTTTTGAAAAACAAAATATGACAGAACATTTCATTATTGACGCAGATATGAGAAAAAGTGTTATGCTGCTATTTATAATGTGTCCTGTGTGTCATGGAATTGAAATATTTCCAAATCATCAATAATTAAAATGATGAGAATCCATCATTTCACTGACATTTACTTCTACATGAAAAGCTGGCCTGTTTTAAATGTGCTCACACATATTCTTGTCAATCACAAGCTGTCACAGCAAATTATTTCATTTGGTAGATCACATGGCAGCTAGCAGAAAATCTCCAGGTTTAAATATAGATCTTAGGTGTAGTACCAAGAAGTCCTTTCATGGTTATTTTCCCCTGTGACTACATCTTCCAGCCTATAAGGGATATGCAGTCTTACCCATAATACTCAACCTTCACTCTCCTTACAAAGCTCAGGGCAGAAAGGAATTGCTATAAATGATAGCTCTGGGAGCCAAATAGCAGAGTACCATATCTAAAGAGGTAAAAACACAGGACGACAAACTCTTACAATCAGATTCCACACAATAGAACTTGGCCCGATCCTCTTTCTAATACTTAAGTCATACCAGGGCACTGCCTGTAACTTTAACAGATATTAAGTAGATGAACTCTTAAAAATCACATGGATTGGATACAGGAATTTTTCTCTTTACTGACACCAAGCAGATGCTATGGAAAACTGAATAAAATTTAAACAATATAACCAGAACTTGTTTAAAGGCCTCTTTCTGATATGATCATTAATAAATATCAGAATTGCCCCATGATGGAATTAAAAGAGCTAGTAAGACATCTTCATGAATAATCTTTATATAAAACATTTCTATTTTTATGATTTTTCCATTTTTTTCTTTTAATCTTCCATCCTAATCTCTCTGATTAGGTATTCAATTCAAAATACAGGAAATAGTTTAATTCTACATTTTAACAGGAAATGCTTCCAGTCAGTCTTGACCTTGGCATACATACACCACTCTGTATTCTGAGGTGTGTGGACAGCTCTCTTAGTCATTCATAGGCAGTAACACTGGCTATCAGCAATGATACTCAAAGGGACAATGAGCAGTGTAAACCATCAGACAAGTGCTGGGGCTTTTTTCTTAGTAAATTCGGGGTACTTTCCATAAGAGGTAATTTTCACTACCTACACTGATTTTCTAAACCTTAGTAAGAAAATCAATAAAATATGGAAATATAATTGCCAAAATATTATGCTGACTTATTTGACCTTCCTGTGGGAGAAATAAAATGATAAATATTTTTCCTGGGAGAACCCATTTGATATACACTGTTGAATTGTGTTTCTATTACTAAGTATTCACATTATGACTTACAGACCTTGTTAAGCTCTGCAAAGTCCTGGACCTCTATCCCTATTTCAGGGCTAAACACATAGTAGGCACACAATAAAAATGCTCATTGGCTTAAGTTTTTATTGAATTGAAGTAAACTGAATTTAAATCAGAGATGAAAGAATGGTTAAAAATAAAAAGTAACTAGACAACTATTAGCCCTTACTTTCATCTCCTCTGATCTGGCTGGTTCCTTGCAGGCACATAGAAATCTCCCATAAGCTGCTGCGAGAATGAAAGTAAGTTAAAATAATGCCAGGTCACTGACTGGTGCCTCTGTGCTGACTGTCTCTGAAACACACATGCAGCTGAGAAGGCTGTGTCACTAACACTGACGCTGGCCAGTGTGGCTTTCCTGCTTGCCCTCAGCAACGCTTTGCATCTCCTCATGCTAAGCTTGTTTTCTGTTTTCAATGTCATTCATACATTGTTTATTTTCACAGTATACCTGGAAGTTCAGCACCACCCTGTGTGTGTGTGTGTGTGTGTGTGTGTGTGTGTGTGTGTGTGTATAAAAACATTTAAGTTCTCAACATTTTGAAAGTAACCAAATGTCAGTGTTTATTCAGGCTTATCTGTGAGAATAATTAGATGGTGGCTTTCCCCCATTGTACTTATCCTACATCTTTTTAATGGACATGTGATGTGCTAGTCTGTGTCCAAGCTCACCTACAATTTCTTCTCTCAACAGACAAGACACATCTGCCACCTGCTCTGCTCCGTGTCCCAGTAACAACTGTCGAGCAGCATAAAGATTGATTATCAGTCAAAAACCATTGCACAACACCAGATTTTGGTGGGTTAAGCTTGCTGATCCAGCAAGAGATGGTGTGAAATTTTCAGGAATGTGTGCCAACATTTTGGTGCTGAAAGAACAGCAGTGCATGTCACAGTGAAACACAGCCAAAGATGAGCGGACAAAGCAGACAAGTTTGTTGTTGTTGTTGCTCTGGACTTGGCTTTGAAAAAAGGATAAAATGAGGAAGGGAGAAGAAATTAGCTTGTACATTTAAAAAACATCCACCAGGAATCGTTAAAAATATGACATCATTATTTTGTGCATACATGTCCAGGAATTTTTTTTCTCTTAGTTTACCTACAGAGACAATCTTTATATGTCTCTTTTGTGATACCATTATTCACTAGAAGGTAAGACTTTCTTATCTTTATAAAACTAATCAAAGATTTTAGTGCAGAGATAATGCATAAATATATGAAGTTTTTAAAATTATGGAAACATTTGCCTATCAAACTGTTTTGTGTAAGCAAATGTTTCTATGGATATAAAATAAGACAACCACTGTCTAAAGTTAAAGCAAAATCTGAAAGCATGTGAATCTGCATCATTGCACAGTGAGTGCTATGCCAACAGCTCCCTTTATAGGTACCACAGTGTCCCAATTTAAGAAACTGCTTGTTTCTGATGATCAAGTGCTACCAACATGATAAAAATTCTAGTGTCATCTCATACAGTAACATTAATGCATGGGGGACTTCCATCGTCTCCTCGATAATGAACTCTAGAATTAGTTTTCTTTGGTTCATACACTCACTGTCTAGGCTTGCCTTTGCTCCCCCAACTTTACAAGAGTGGCAGAGAAATTGCTTCTAATGTGGTATCAGAGCATCGGGGGCACAGCATTCAGACACACTGGTTCTTACAATGAGGCTGTCTCTTCCATTACCTAAAGCCCATTGTGTGGAACACTGGATAACGAGCTCTCTGTACAACATGCTTGGAAGAAGGATTGAAAATGCTGCTACTTTCCTTTCTTTTTTAAAATGTGTTATTTCATGTTGAGAAAAGACTTTTTTTTTATTTTTAGAAAATCTTCACATATCCGAAATCTTAAATATAAGGACATGGGAGAAAACCCTGAGCAGGAACTTTGTCTGAGATTCTATGTATAAATACATAAATATAAATATTTAGAGGTTAAAAAATTAAATTGAGCTATAGCATTTACTTTATGAGTAATGTTACTGGGAGATTCACATGTTCATAGAATTATTTGTTCATTACTTGCCACAATTTCTTAATTATGTTAATGCCATCTGAAAAAAGACCAAGAGTGTAAGTGAAAAGATGATCCTGGAAACTCTGAACTATTTTCTGAGAGCATACATCTAATGAATTATGTCTGCTGAGTGTCACGGAAACTAAACAGTAAATTCAATAATCTCTGATTTAATTTATTATATTTTCACCATTTAACCTCCTGCAGGCTCCCTAATGTCTATTCAGATCTATATTAAATTAAGCACCAATGCTAATGAAGGGCAATAAACGTGGCTGTCAGTGGATTTTTCTTTCATTAAGCACATTATCCTCTTACTGAGCTGTAAATGCGTAAACATTAGTTTTGTTAAACCATGCAAAAAAGACAGGAAGAAAATCATTTTTTAATTGCACTCCTTAAGCAATTTATTGTGGAGGAGTTTGGTATTTCTTTTTTCCTTTTTACCTCTAATTTTTTTGAACGGATCTAAAAAGGGCTCTCCTGTTGAAACATAAACATTGGCTTCATGGGGTATATCTTCAGGTTTGAGGGCTTCCGTGCCGTCTGCCAGGAACACTCGTCGTGCGGCCATGTTCAGATTCAGCTTGTGTGTGCACGTTTCCAGCAACTAGAAGAGAGTCACAGGTACGACACAATGATTTACAAAGAAAACAGCATATGCCCACAGAATAAAAATAGACCAATTGAGTCACATATCAGACTCAGGAACTCAATCAATGCTGTGACTGTTTCTCAGCATTTGAAAATGTGGAAACAAAAAACAAATCAAATGGGAAAACTATCTCATTATTGTCTAGTTTTATTTATAAACATTCTGTGCTTTAATAACTCTCCAAAATGCATAACCATTGTATTTGTTTAATTAATCTGCTTAATTACTAACCACAGTATTATGTTTACTTTAAAAAAAGAAGTAGTAAAATTCCTATGACTATGTAAGCAATGTACAGGTTCAGATTTACACAAGATTTTAACGCAATGATTGTCTTTCATATTTGTTTGTATTATAAAGAGAATAAGAGATAAATAATTGAAAATGTTGGGATATTAGTTACCAAGGCAATGGTTGGTGCAGTAACTTTGGCAAAGGCTGTTCCAGATCCATTTTTGTAAGCTGTCACCTTAATGACTCTTGGTTGAAGTTCATATCTCTGAGACAATCCTTGGCAATTATGGGGTGACTTCAATTTTAGAGAGGACTCTGATGATCTAAAAGAAAAAAACCCACAAAACTTGGTGCATGTTAATTACTTAAAACTTTTTTAAAAATGCTATCTCACAATTCTCTAATAGAAGCCCTTAAAATTGTTCCTACAAATAAGAAGATCCCACAACAAAACTTTTGATACAATGAGATCAACACTGTTTCAGTATCCAAACACACAATAGGATGTTTGCCAAGGTTGTTCCTCTCTCAGAATGAATCGTTCTGGCCACTTACTAGTAAAACCCCAGAGCATTCTTTTTTAGATTATGGACATGAAGAATTAGAGCCAGTCAGACACCTGCCATGTTTTGACAGCCAAAACAATAGTAGGGGCTTAATATCATGGGATGTTAAATGGCTAAGATTTTCCCACAAGTGTTTGCACTTACGAAAGAAAGTTCAATTTTTAATGGATATAAGAAACTCAATAGGTTTATTATGATGAAAACTTGAATTCAAAAGCTAACTTTATTGCCTATATTTTTACAATCTCAAATTGGGGGGGGGCAGTAAGATTTAAGATTTCTATGTTTTTATCTTCAGTCAAAACTAGTTTTGATTTTTTCAAAAGTACATGGTAAACTGTCAAAAATATTTCATTCAGAATTCTCTAATAATTTTCATTTACAAGGCTATTAAAATCAACATTTTAAAATAAAAACTTGAAATAAATTAAGTTAAAACCACAGTCTACATGTCTACTCAAACACCTAAAAGCAGTGGAAGTCTCAGGGCCCTAGTTTTCATCTTCAGCCCCTTTTCTTCTACCCATTACCTCTTGAGTTAACAGTTTATGATACTCTAAAAATGTATGTACTAGATGGTTTTATAACTATACTTCTGTCTGATTCTGATCCAAAATATTGGTTAAATACCAGATTTACATTTCTATTTCAAATAAATGTCTTCTAAGCAACGACTCTGCCTCCAGCATTCTTTTCAGTTTTTGATGACCTAGGCTGGAGTGTATCTCATGATTTCCAATATGTAATTAGCAACATTCTGACTCCAGTGTAGTCAAAGTAAAAATCCAGGAACAACAGAAAACAGAACCCCAATCAAAATGATACGCTATGTTTTAGTGTCTGAAATAGTCAATGGAATCACTATAAATTCTGGTCAAATAAAAGAGCTTCAACAGTTGGTTAAAAAGAACAGTGAATGGCTTTGATTACCTCGGCTGACCCGCTGGCACACTGACAGGTCTGTTTCTCTTGGATGGCGACATAAAACAAGAATTGTTTTTACTCTTGGATCTGCAGCTATCTGGGTTTGATGATTCTTCCTGGCCGTGATCTGATGCTGTTTGATGTGTAGAACAATCTTGAAGGCCTGACCCTTCTGATACAGCCGCTGAATGCAAAAGTCTGTTGGGGCCAAGCTGAAGCTGCAAACAACCATCAGTAGTTTTAATAACAGCTTTTGCCTGGTTTGACATAAACTCCCTAAAAGAAACAGGACATGGAAGAGTACAATGAATCTATTGTAATGACTTATTAACATCTACCATGCAATAAATGCTGTGAGGTATTGGTTAGACAAAGTGCTACTCTGTCCGGATTTTGAGGCTTGTAATATTACCAGAGGGAAGGCAGTATTTGCAACTTCCCTTTACACATAAGTTGAAAATCAGAAAGGTTAGGTAAACATATATGTCATCAGCAGAGACAGGGTAGGAGCTTGGACCCAAGCCTGCCCTAACATTGAGCTTCATTGTTTTATTTAGTTAAACTAAAGAAATTTGCATAATGCTTAAAATTTGTAATTTTATGATTTACTTTATTAAAAATGAGCAATCTAAATACTAGAAAATAGGTAAAGAGATGTGGTCCCCACATGCATAAAACTTGCAAACTATCCCTCAGTCATGAATATATTTCTAAATGAATGTATGAATGTATATTTCAATGGGCAAAAGCAATTTAAGAGAACTGGTTTAGCATGAGTGAGAATATGGTTGATAGGAACTGCAGAGATTATTCAGCAGTTAAGAGTACTGGCTGCTCTTCTAATGGACCTGCACCAACATGGCAGTTTACAATCATCTGCAATCCAGTTCCAGGAGATGCCTTCTTCTGGCCTCTTCAGACATCACACATGCACATGGTGCACAGACATACAAGCACACAAAACACCCATACATTAAAAAATATATATATTTTTAAGGAAGGTGATTGATTTATGACTCACTCATCCCAGTTTACCCAAGACTGCTGGAGTTCTAGAGTCGAAAGTCACATGTCTCAGAGAAACTGGGACAGGTGGCCACCCATATCCCAGTATTCAAGGTAAATGAGTAGCATTGAGAAGAACAGGAACGTGTAGATACAGAGCCATATGACCTGGGGTGATGTGGAAATATCAAGTCACAGTGGTGAGACAGGTATAGGGTTTTCTGATTCAATCAGATTGGACAAGCTTTGGCATACTTCAGAACACCCAGCTGTTGGAGGATGGAGGCATAGAAGATGCTATGGTCTTACAGAGGTCCGACACACCTGTAACTGGGACAACTCAAACATCTACCAAGTCGGTCTCTGTTCTTCTGAAATGACACTAGTGTTAGTCAAGGTTCTCATATATACATACATACATATATATATATATGAGAACCATATATGTGTGTATGCACATATATACACACATACATGTAACATACACACACATATATGAGAAATAATATGTACATATGTGTATACATGTCACATGTGTATATATATGTGTAGATATAATATGTTTATATTAATTATATATGTGGGATTTATTAGAATGGCTTACAGGCTATGTTCCAGCTAGTCCAACAATAGCTGTCTACCAATGGAAGGCAAGAATCTAGTAGTTGTTCAGTCCATGAGGCTGGATATCTTAGTTGGTCTTCAATATGTGCCAGAATTCCCAAGAAGCAGGCCCTAATGCCAGTGGAGGAATAGATTTGCTAGTGAAAGTTTGGGCAAGCAGGCAAAGAGAGAGCAAGCTTCCTTTTTTCATATCCTTTATATAGGCTGAGGTAGATCGTCCCACCTCAAAAGTTCTGGATTAAAACTGTAATTTCCCACTTCAAATCTGGATTAGAAGTGGGTCTTCCCACTTCAAACGATTTAATTAAGAAAAATTCCCTCACAGGTGTGCTCAGACATTTGGGTTTTAGTTAATTCCAGATGCAGTCAAGTTGACAACCAAGAATAGCCATCTCAACACTGCAACTTTGGGGGATTATGTACTAAAATTATTTTCATCTAATTATGATTCTAGTATGGTTAAGACAGTAAATTAAATGACTTGGTAAGTGATAAAACACAATTATATTTAAATAAGTGGGTCAGTAATATATTTATTTATGACTTGATTTTCCCAAAGATTTATATCTAAAGGTAGAGAAAGGGTAGTTGATAATAATGGTATTTCTTCTCATTGTCTCTATTTTAATAACATTAGTGAACCTTATTGGCTTATCATAGCAATTTTAGGAAAACTATTAAAAATCATATTTTTCAGCCTCACAGTTACTGATTTCCACCACGAGCACTTCCATGCCATCCTCCAAATCCCTCAGCTGTCATTGCAATGCAGGACCTTTTATAGCACTAATTTGAAGCTCTTTAAACCAATGGCATTTATCCAGGTAATCTATAACCATCATTGCACTTCCTTCAAGAAACTCTGTGTTAATCTGAACGTAGGACTTATTTTCTACAGCCATTTCCATTAAAATAATTATGTAATAGAAGACCAAAATGTGTAAACTAGTATTTATACACATAAATTTACATTGCTAATTGTTATTAACTGTAAAGAAGACATCCTGGTTATTGCAGGAAGAAAGTCATGGATCAGGTGCATAAAAAGGCTTCACGGGGTGGAGGGGGTTTTGGTACCTAACTCCTGCACACCGGGCTGTAAGCTAACTGATGCGGGTGCTGGAAACTCAATTCAGATCCTCTAGAAGAGTAGAGATGTTCTGAACTGTTGAGCCATTTTTCCAGGCCAGAGGTTAGAATTTTAACAGGCTTGATCTTGTACAGGTCTCCTGTGGGTAACCAGTTTCTGTGAGTTCATGTGTGCAAAAGCCAACTCACACCCAGAAGACAGTGATTCACAACACTCCTCCCATCCTCTGACCCTTGTATTCTTTCCACTCCCTCATCCATGACATTCTCTGAGCTGTTGGAGGGAAGCAGAGTCACTCTTCTTTAGGGAGGTGACTACTGGCAGGTTGCCCTTGCCCCGGTGGATTTCCCACACCCTTGTGAATATGGGCAGCACTAATTGGACTCAGTAGGTTAAAAATAAATAAAATACAAGTAATTAGAATAATTAGAAAGAAATAACCTTAATTGTAAGAAATGGTTAGGGATACAGCTCAGAGTAAAGCACTTGACTCATAAGTTTAAAGTTCTGGGTTTGATCTTGAACACTGAGGGAAGGAGGAGGTGGAGTTCAAGAATTTGTATACTGCTATGTTTGCTTGTTGCATGACTTGAGGTGATTTTTCTCCACCCATAGAAGAGTGAAAACCCCTGCTTTTATAATCTTTCCACTTTCAAGAGAATTCAAGCAGTGACTTGAGTGCAGAAATTAGTCTTTGCCAACTACGGCATTGTGTAAAAGTGTATCACATACGCCGGGCGGTGGTGGCGCACGCCTTTAATCCCAGCACTCGGGAGGCAGAGGCAGGCGGATCTCTGTGAGTTCGAGGCCAGCCTGGTCTCCAAAGCGAGTTCCAGGAAAGGCGCAAAGCTACACAGAGAAACCCTGTCTCGAAAAACCAAAAAAAAAAAAAAAAAGTGTATCACATAATGCCACTTACAAAAAGTAATTTAAGAAACAGAATATTGAAAAGTTCCAGCCCAAAATCACACCAGACAATGTTGATTATTGAACTAACCATTATTCCTCCTACTTCCCTTAGATACAAAACTTCAGTCGTACTGGGAGCTCAGCCTCCCAGTGTGCTGTGTCCTTTGATCAGCCTCAGTGGGCAAATGCCCTGTGGTCTAGAGCCCACATGGAAATTCTATTTCCCATCTCCCTGGCAGATTACATAATCGGTTTTTATATAATCTTAGCCAATGCGACACCTTCCAGGAATAGTTCTTTTTGTTTGGTGGGTTTTGGTCATCCACTTGTCTCTCTTTCTTTCAGATACTGTTGAGTGAACATGTGTTGATCTATCTTGCAGGCAGGCCAGGCCAAGTAAAATGAAGTGGTCAGTGTTCTGAGGACTGCCGGGGAAAGCATGAAGTCTTTCTTATAACACCACAGAACCACTAAAGTTAACACCGTAGTTACTCTGTGACATTCTTCAGTGAGACAATAAAAACTTCCTCATTTTAAAAGTCACTTTCAGCTGAATTTTCTATAATTATCCCCTTGGATTTCTACTACCTTCATTAAGGAGAGTACATTAAACATAATGCAAATTTAATGTAGTACATGGGTAATTATCTCAATTATACTTCCTTTGTTTTTAGTTTTACTAATATTTAATTAATTAAAGGATAAAATGTAAACCAATCTGTTCTTTACTAAAAATCCAACTTTCATTTAGTCAAAAACATTTCAGGGGAAATTTTAGCATAAGCATAAAATGACAGGGAGGTTTTTTATCCTCCCCCCCTTTGAAACACAAAGGATCCTTGGCAAATTTAGATTTCTATAGAGCAAATCTGCATGTGGCTAATAATTCTATTCATAAGTGAGAAGTGTGGCCACTTTGACAGACTGTGGCTCAATAACAAATGTGCAGGTCTAACTTATCCCAGAGTTTAGATGTGAATTCAAGAGCAGGATGATGACAGTCGCCAGGGATTGTTCTTGCTGTCAGTGCATCCCAGTGTTCCCTGTCAAAACGTCTCTTTTTCTTATACAGAAGCCACAGCATTTTTATGGATAGCAATTACTTACAATATACAATGAAGTACATCAAATCTAACAACCACTCTTTAGCCCTTCATTATTTGGTAGAGTCTTTGTTAAATGTATCAACCATTTTCATCTAAATTATTTATTTATACTATATATTTGACAAGCATATATTTCTTACTTTATATTCCAATGGCATTTAAACCTTCCTAAGGGCTATATATTTTTTTAAATTATCATTGTAAAACTTATCTTTATCCTATTATTACTTTAATGGTAATTAAACTCTCTAATTGGAATATATTCAAGTAAGAGTACATAAATATCAAGGAAAATGACCATGAGTATGCTTGATAATACACCACACACTTAAAACACTGTAATGCAAGCAATAAATGAACAGGTTAAACATTTGTTTAATCATTTTTTAATAAAACCTCTGGCATGCACAAAGCACAAAGATTCATTAAACTTCATCTTGCCCTCCCCTCAGCTTACTTAAACAAACAGCCTCCAGAGATACAAATAGTATCCTTCAAATTTTCTGATAAGATGTTATTTGAACATCATAGAAAGTGAATAA